CGCGTGCTTCGCGTGCATGCGGAGCGCGACGGACTCCACCAGCGGCATTGGCTCATCCACGGCGGCTGAAGCGACAAAAGAACTCAATGCGTCCAGACTGAACCGGGCGCACGCCAGCTGCGAGAGTCGCTTTTGCACCGCCGGGTTGCGGACTAACAGGGCATCGTAACGCACCGTGTGTGTGGCGTGCAGGGCGCAAATTTCCTCCAGCTTCCCGAGTATGCCGCTGCACACCGCGGCAGATAAAATGTTTTGCTCAGCGGCAAAGGCATCCACGGAAGTGGCGGCATCCGAGACAACAGACCCGTCCGCCTCCTTCAGCGTCACGGCACGGATTCCACCACCAATGGCGCTGCTGCGCACCTTCTCACCGGACTGCACCAGCGGTACCGTCACTATTAAAGCCTCCCCGCTTTCTTTCGACGCGGCGAGGCGGACGGATGCCGGGGAGCTGCCTTCCTGCACAAGTACTGGAAACGTCCCACGCAACTTGACACGCGTGGGGTCGTTGTCACTCGCCACAACCCGCACCATGTCACGTGATTCAGACAGGGCGCACCACTCCCCCGATCCGTAGGCGTCGGCCAGCCAGTCCGTGCAGGGTGTTGACATTGCCTTTGCCTTCACAGCCTCGCACCTCGTTAACAACGCCCGACGCGATGTCTCACCCACTGACACTTTAGTCCCGCCGCTGTTTCTTTCAGCCGCATTGCCTGCCGGAGGCTTCTGAGGCGCCCGCGACGTAAAGTGTTGTAGCATCAACATATCCGCAAGCCGTCCTTGCTGGAGGAGCGTCGCCACAAAATCCACGCGGTTGCGAAAAAGCAGCACGCGACGCATTTTCTGTTGATTGCGCTCTGGCACACAGAGACACACCAGTGGACAAAAGCAAAAGTCAAATGAATGGACAAACAAGAAAATGTCTTTTCCCCTTCCTTTCCTCTTTTATTTATTTATTTTTTTTTTTAGATTCTTAACGGTCCTCCCCCCGCCCCGCCACGCCCCTTGCGACTGTCTGGGGACTCCCTTATTTTGTTGTGTGCTACTCTGCTTGTGGAGAAGGGTGGAAAAAGAAAAAAAAATAAGAAAAGAAAAAAACAAACAAACAAAAACCAAAAAACAAAAACGAACGGTCTTACCGGGGCAACAGGCATCCCTCATGGCGACAGGACGTGCGCAACCGTCCTCCTCTTGTGGGACTTCGTGCCCCCCTCCCCCTTCTCAAGAGAACACAAAAAGAAAAAAAAAAAAAGGACCATCTTCCTTTTCCCCTGCAGCAGCGAGTATATAAATATAAATATAAATGTAAATAAATAACTATTATATATAAAAATGTTCGTGGAATATAAACAAAATGTACGTTTTTATCCATGCGAGCGACACAAATATATATATATGAAAAAAAGGAAAAGGAAAATGGCTTGGAAACAAGTGGGAATAGAAACCGGAGACTCACACGTCCTTCTTTATTGCAGCATTCACACCGTGGCGCTTTAGGGATGCAACTACGCAGACCTTTTCTTCTCTTTCTCTTTCCCTACCCATGGCATTTAATATATTGCCCCCACCCCCCCCTCATTTCTGCTTTCCATGCTCCATATATATAGATACCTACGTATCTATGTGCATGCGCATTTGTCTGTATGTTTGTATGTGTGTGTTCTTTCCTCCGGCCCCCCTTCCCCTCCCCCTTCGTCAAATGTCGTCCGTCAGGTTTAGTTTCACTTTTCCGTCGCTCGTGTTGTCAAACGCCGGCTGGCCAAGAAAAGGGCACGTGGCACAGCGGAATGCATCCCCCTTGGCGCAGTTCCCACAACCACCCGCCGGCATCTGCGGCATCTCCACCTTTTTTCCCTCAGCCAGCATTTTCCTCTCCAATTCCGCCCGCCCGCATGTGCAGTTCTTGCAGGCGCGTCGCCGTGTCGTGCAGTCCTCCCCTTTCGTGGCCTCCTTCACAACGCGGTCCTCCTCGGTGAGCAACGCGTCCTCATCAACTGCCTGACGCGTCTTTAGGCTGAATGCCTGTGTCGTTGTAGAAGACATCACCCCCTCTTTTTCGGGTCCCTGCGTGTACGTATGCACTTTATAGCAGAAAGCTCACTTCAGCTATCGGAGAGACGTGGGTATACATTATTATTATTATTATTATTATTATAAGAAAGAAGTATTAGAAGAGATGACATGAGCCATGCATAAAGGCCGGCACATACACACAAACACATCCTTCCTCTCCCCATGCCTCTGCGCATTTCCATCCGTCCATGTCTTAATAATAAATAAATAAATAAATAAATAAATAAATAAAAAACAACAACAACAAAACACGGGCATGCGCGTGGATATCAGCGGCCACAACCAAATCGGCGCAAATCTTCCGCCCGTTCTTCACTCTCTCCCCACAACAACGGCTCCACGTGACCACTCGCGTTCATGCAGCTCGTGTATGGGGGATATATGTTTGATGACACAAGGGAGCAGACAATGAGACGCATGGCTTCTCGGGAAATCGGCAGAGGCCATCAAAACGCAGGGGGGAGGAGAGGGGAGGAGAAAAGACACAAGCGACAGGATTTGTCCAAAGCGATCCTCTCAAAAACGGCAGTTTCGCCTTTTAAAACGTTCCAGTCGCCCTCCTCTCAAACACGGAAAGAGATTGCCATCCCTTCAATCACCGGCAGTGCTGTTGCTCTCCTTGCCATTTCCCCCCCCCACCCCTTCTTCCGCATAAACACACAAATAAAAAATAAATCACACCGCCAACAAAAGCAAACGTACACCCACCCACAGAAAGAAAACAAACACACAAACCTCAACGCGTTAAATATGATGGCCATTGCAAAAATGCGCGCTTCTCGCTTGCAGGTTCCCCCTGTCTCTCTCTCTCTTTCCTTGCTATTTTAACGCGTCTGCTTCTCCCCGCCAGGAAGACTCATGCGCACCTCTGGACCCAAAGAAATCCCCTCCGCAAAATCAAGCACGCCAACCTCCATGTCTTCGGCAAAGTGATACGGTGCCGTCTGTATGCTCGGGCGTCTGTAGTACCACTCGGGGCGGCTCATGCTGCCGTCGGGGTTTATAACCACGTCACCGTCGCTCTGCGCGTGGGCATCCGTCACTGGGACCATCCGCATTCTCTTTTGAATAACTCCGCAGAATTTGTAGAGGTCGACAATTAATTCGCCGCAGCTGATTTCCGTCCCCTTTGAACGGGCCCCTGTCCACTCATAAAGTTTGGGGTGAATGTAGCATAGCACCAGCAGCGAGCTCTTGTCCATTGGGCGGCCCACATTTTCACTGATGAACATACGCAGGCGGCGTTTCCGCTCTGGCGTCCACTCAAATCCCTTCAGTCGTCTAACCGCAAAGCGGTTGTAACACCAGCGGTCCCCTTCACGTCCAAAAAGGCGATGATTTGCCTCAACAAGCTGTACACACTCATGACGCACTTTTCCATCCACATCGGGGGCGTGAATGTCAAGGTTATCAACCGACTCCATCAAAATCACACCGCGTTTCTGTTTTCGCTGCAGCATTGAGCGCTCCCTGTGCAGCACGTCGGCAATCGTGCCGGATGAAAACAAGGGACGACAACGCCCGGATGCATCCACAGAGGCGGCAGTGGAAGAGAGCGAGTGCGCCGACCAACGCTCCAGTTGTGCCGGCTCCACCACCACTGCCACGTGCGAAAACCTCAGGGCCGCGGGCCGCATGAGGCTGTACGCAAACTGCGCTATGGCAATCTTCCAACTCGTGATGCCGGTGCCCATGAGCAGCACGACATCGCCCTCACGCAAAGTCGGCTCCACCTTTGACCACTCCTCAAGAGGATATTCCTCGTGCGGCTGGAAAAGCGCATGCACGGACGCCTCCAACTGCCACCCCACCAGCACGCATAGCGAAAAGTAGCCAACAGAAAGAAGAAGAACGCACGTTCCAAGAGTCAAGCACTTCCGCGAAAACCGCTGCGCGCGGAAATAGCGCCACCTCCTCTGGAATGAAGAAAACAGCCATTGCGTGAGTGTGCCGGATTTGCATGTGTTCGCATCATACCTCGACATCTCCCCAGCACTGAGAAACCGTTTGCCGGCACCGTGACAGCTGCTACTAATCATAATCATACTACCGCTACAACGATGCAGCAGCGACGGTGGCTGTTTTTGCCGCCTAACCACAATTGCTGCCCACCTCATTTATGTCTATTACCACACACACACACACACACACACACACACACACACACACACACACACGATTACTGGAAAAGTGAGAGAGAGAGAGAGAAAGAGGCAGAAACCCCCTTCTTTTTACCCGTCCAATTTTTTATTCCCGATTTGTTCCCTTGCGGACCCCTTTTGTCCCTCCTCCAGCGGAGAGAAGCACAACAGAGAGGAAGTGAAAGAGAGAGAGAGACAGACAGAGAGAGAGAGAAAAAAAAAAAGTAAAAAAAAAAAAAAAAGGAAAGGGCGGCCCAGGCATCACAACACTCATCCAATCAGCAGAAAGAGCCCAATCCTTCCGGGCCCTCCCACTCCGAGCGGAACCGCAAGATCCGCAGAAAAAGATGGGAAGACACACACACACAGAGACAGAGACAGAGAGAGTGAGAGAGTGAGAGAGTGAGACAAAAGGCGTGAACCGAACCGAACGCATAAACAAAACAAAACAAAACCAAAACCAAAAACAAACACTACGAGCACGACAATGCACATGCACAAATAACAACCACTGGGAGACACAACAAACATTCCCCCCCCCTTCTCCTCCAACGCACCCTCTTGTGACATCATGCCGTGGGTTTCTTCTCCCTCGAGAAGGGCGGTGGTGCTGGTTGGCAACAACGCCCGTAAGCGGCGCAAGAGTAAAGTGCGGGGCAGTCACGGGGAAAGAAAAAAAAAAAAAACACGCACACACACAAAAAAAAAGGCGGAAAATAGTTGGATCAAAAAGCGAGTATAAATATAATGTATCTCTCTCTCTCTCTCTCTCTGATGCGCGTACGGCATAACCGTGGCGTACGCCGACACAAAAAATACAAGGGGAATGGAGGAAAAAACAAACAAACAAAAAAAAAAAACAACTCCAAATAACAGCACAGGGATATACATCACATAGCCATAAACAAGACGTAAAACGCATGCGTCTGTGCAGCTAGGCTACAGAGCGGGAAAAAAATGTTTTTTTTTTCTTTTTCTTTTTTTCCTTTTTCTTTTTTTTTATTTGTTTCGTATCGTTCAAATATTTTTTTTTTTTCCTGAGGGGAGAATTTCATTGTTATTTCATCGGTCATTTTGTTCCTGTGGATATTTCTTGTTTTATTTATTTATTACTAATTTTTTTTTTTTTTTTTTTGTATGCGACGTCCCCTCCATTCCATGCGATGCCGCCACGTTTTCATGGACGTGTGCTTCGCTACGGCCCAAAAGGAGGGGCGACGACGTCCTCGTCTCGTGCACATCCCCGGCCCCACACTTCATTTGGGGGCCACTCGCCCGCCAAGCAGCATAAATGCAGGCCGCGTACGAAACATCCAAATGTACCAAAGGACAAAGACACGTGTATAGGCAGAGAAGACCACCCACCCGCAATGAGTGTTTTTTTTCTTCTCTTTTTTTCTCTCTCTCTCTCTCTCCCTCTTTTCCCGTTCCCTGCTTTTTGGCGTCTCCCTTCTTTTTTTCTTTGTTCAATTTGATTTTTGTTGCTTGTTTACTGCACTTCACACGAAATCCCCCAAAAGGGGGGCTCTGACTACGGCTCCATGAGAGCCTCATGCAAGTAATCCTCAATGGAGAACGGCTCGTCTTTCCACTGGCGAAAAAAAGGGTGCTCCAGCAGCTCACCGG